AACACTGATAATAACCAGAAGGATGATTTCTGAAGGATCATGTGACACTGAAGACTGGAGTAATGATGCTGAAAATACAGCTTTGATCACAGGAATAAATTGCATTTACTAAATATTCACATAGAGTTATTTTAAATTGTAATAATAATACACAATAATACTGTTTATACTGTATTTTTGATCAAATAAATACAACCTTGGTGAGCAGAAGAGACTACTTTTTTTTATCCTACAGACCCCAAACATTTGAACAGAATGTGTTCCTCACCTCGGCCTCCACCAGTCGGTTGATAATGGCCTCTAGCGTCTCATTGGCTCGGCAGGTGAGCACACCCTCAAAATACTGCGAGCGATGCTGGAGGGCTTTAGTCACAGTGATGTCCAGGTTATTGTATGTCTTCTCAGCGGCCAGATTCTGTGTGACGATAAGAAAACCAGATTGAGACACAAACACAGAGACTTTAGGAATAGTTCACCCTAAAATTTAAAAATCTATCCATAATACTGCTTTCACTTGTGGAAAAAATGGTCTGGTCTGAATCGGGAGAGAAAATCTGCACAGATCAAACACCGTTTAAGCGTCAAAAACAGTCCAAAACAGCTCTAAACAAATATGTGTGTGGATTTTGATGTGAGAGACAACAGGAGATGGGCATTTTAACAGGAGAAAGCGTTATTATGGACTCATATTTTAGCAGGAAACAACAGTTTGAAGTTAAAAACGTCTTGATGGATTTGTTCCTTGAGATGTTTTTATCAGCTGTTTGGACTCTCATTCTGACGGCACCCATTCACTGCAGAGCATCCATTGCTGAGTGAGTGATGGAATGCTACATTTCTCAGAATCTGATGAACAAACAAACTCATCTACATGTTGGATAGATCTTGAATGAGCAAATTTTCATTTTTGGGTGAACTATTCCTGTAAGATATTAAATTAAGGTCATACTGTTAAAAACACACACACACACACACACACACACAGCATCACGAGTATGAGATCATGCACTGCAGTGGCTGCATTCCCTCAAGCTGATCAATACGACAAACACCAGAGGCTTTAGACACGCTGAGTCCAATCGAAACAGAAACACCATCACGCACACATTCAATAATCTAACACCACCAGCACAGCTCAATGTCCAGCGCTCTAGTTAGAAACAACAGACACAAACACACAAAACTTACAATAACATCAAACTTGGAGTAGATGTCGACCACATGTCCTGTCAGCATAAACGAAGAGAAAAACCACGAAAAGTGAGGAGGAAGAAAATAAAACCACAGATTTGTAATTTACAATATATAAGAAGTAATATATTAGTTTCCTCTCACCATTTTCATCCACCACAGGAAGGGCAGACACTCTCTGATCCACGAAGATGCCGAGCGCGGCGTAGAGCGGCGTATCCGAGTGAACCACTGCGATGCTGTGAAACGTTCCGATGTTCAACTCCTCCAGCGTTTGAGACAGAAACCCAGGTTTGGGCATCTCAGATATCTGTGGGAGATCGTTCACATAAACATGAAGACTGTGCATTCTAGAAAGAAAACAAAATTCCAAGTTGTGCCAATAAATGAGTAAAGGGGAAATTTAGCACTAGTTGCTTAAAAAGTTGTGACAGAGTTACAGCAAGCGCTCTGTGACAGACCACTGCCAAATAAATGAATGTCTATACTTAAGGTCATGTGTCACAGGAAACATTCAGTGAGCGGTCACAGGGCAGGAAACTTACAAAGAGCTTCAGGAATTTGAGGATCCTCTTGTGTGTCAGGATGTAGAGTGTGTTTCCTGTTAGAGGATCAATGACGGGTAATCTGTGGATCTTATGCTTCAGTAGAGATGAGACAGCATCATATAGGCTGAGAGAGAGAGAGAGAGAAAAACATCAGACATAATCACAACTCTCTAACAAAACCCATTCAATATGCACGCTTACAAACTCTTACCTGGCATTGGGCGATATGCTGACGAGAGGTTTGAAGGAGTCTTGTAAGTAGACCTCTATATGAAAAAGATAGATCAGTCACAGGCTCACATATCAGAGTGTAAACCTCATGAATACACATAAAATTATTCCCACCTCGCCATGTTTCTATTTTGTGCTCTTCTAATTCATATATCTGGACCTAAAACAGAAAAAAAAAAAAAAACATAACATTTTTAAAGGTTCCTCAAAAAGACATGAATGGGAGAATAACAGTCTTAACAAATTTTACCAGAGGAGACTTATAATAGCGATGAAGTATGTTGATGAAATCTGTGATGGTCAGCATACCTACAATAGAAAGCAAATAAAGAAAACAAGACATAAGTTAAATTAGAATTACTTTCAAGACATTTGTTCCAATAACAATACATGATTGTAAATTAGTTATTTAATTATAATTACATTTTTATATTATTATTATTATTATTGTTACACCATTTCAGAGTTTGAGTTCAGTAAGATTTTTCAATGTTTTTGAATCAAGTCTCTTCTAAATGCCTTTACTGTCACTGACAAATCTGATGTGGAAAAAAATCCAACTGATCCCAAATCCCGAAAATGGTTGTGTACATAATCTTTCAAAAAAAAAAAAAAAAAGTAATAACTCGCTCCACATCTGAATTTTTTTTTCTTTTTGTTGCTGATGCAATCAAAGCCATATTTCAAAAAAAAAAAAAAAAAGAAAAAACTCGCTCCACATCTGAATTTTTTTTTCTTTTTGTTGCTGATGCAATCAAAGCCACATGGATAGGGAAAAATAATAACTACACAGTCTAACTTGATCCAATGATCCATTCAAATTACAATGGATCCGATCTACCCTTAATGATTTTCTTTATGTAATATAAATTTATTGTGAATGCAGTTTAATCTTATCAAACAATCACATTATATTTACATTTCCAAAAAAAAAAAAAAAAAACTTGCTTACCAACAAAGCATTGTTTCTTGCTGTCCCAGAGAGGCGCTGCTCTCACTCCATTAGACACTAGAGCAAAGAACGCCTTCTTCACCTGGTAACCATACAATCATAAATTAACCAGCAGGCACTCGGACAGCTTAAATGTCATTAATGTTGATGACACGAAGTACAGAGCAAATATATCCAACCCCTAGAGTCAACATGAAATCAATACTGACCCCATGTGCCTGATTCTAATATCAATTATTCATATCATTCCAAATATTTTGTGTGTATGTATGTTAATTCCCTTTTATCAGAAAGTAATAATGTGTTATCTCTTAAACAATGTACCTTTCCTGCTAACATCACTTGTTATATAATGTTACAAAATGCTTTTTAGGCATAGTTTTAGCAAATGCACATTCCGTCTTGCTGTATTCTGGTGTGGAACGGACACTTTACATGACCTAATTAATTAAAGGAATAGTTCATCCAAACATGAAAATGTCCTCATCCTCAGGCCATCCAAGATTTAGATGAGTTTGTTTCTTCATCAGATTTGGAAAAATGTAGCATTCCATCACTTGCTCACCAGTGGATCCTTCTGCAGTGAATGGGTGCCGTCAGAATGAGAGTCCACACAGCTGATGATATCTTGATGGATTTCTATCTTACAGACACACACAGCTTTTCACTTCACAAGATGTTAGCTGATGGACTGGAGTGGTGTGGATTACTTGTGGTTAATGTGATGTTTTTATCAGCTGTTTGGACTCTCATTCTGACGGCACCCATTCACTGCAGAGGATCCATTGGTGAGCAAGTGATGCAATGCTACATTTCTCCAAATTTGTTCTGATGAAGAAACAAACTCACCTACATCTTGGATGGCCTGAGTGTAAGCACCTTTTCAGCAAACCTTCATTTTTGGGTAAACTATTCTTTTAATGAGTAAAATCATGTTTGTTTGTTTTTTGTTTTGTTTCACACAGAAATGTGTGATATTACGGAAATCAATAGGTTGTAAACAAGGTTGCACATTTAGCAACATTTGAAGAGTTTATTTGCAAAAACTATAAGTGCCGTACATTATTCTCTACACACAGCGCGATCTGAACCCTAAACACGTTTTGTCAAGAAAGCCGGTATTGTCCACTTTCAAGGCTTCGCGAGTTCACATTTTACAGCAGAAGCCGACAAGCACCCTTGTTGTTTGTGAACAGAAGCCGATAAGTCCATTTTAGCGAATCAGCACGCTGTATTCAGGTCAGGTGTAGCTGATTTCTGAAAATAAATAAAAATGGAGTTATCTGTTTTTGCAAATGAACTCTTCATTTGATTTCTTCTGATCACCAACCTGTAGAGAAGTGTCAAACACCACCAACTTTGAGCTGGTGGGCACCAGGTCATAGCAGCGGTGGGATTTCATGAAGCGGGTGTACACATTATACTCAGGATCTGGTTTGAAATAAAGGGAAAAACAAAAAGGAATAATCTGCTACTTTAATGCTTGAAAAAGCATAGTCTAAATCATTAAATCATGAACAAGCATTAAAAACAACCAATGAAAATATGAGAGAAAAAGTGCCAGAGAACAAAATGTCACAGGATCATATTTCTGTTGTCACTTTAGTCTCAGATTTCACTCCAAACACTAAAGTCAAACCCCTGCTCGGCTCTGCTTTCATACCTCGCACATGAGCTGCAGGTCATCGCAGGACTACAGTATCATCTTTATTTATTCACATTCTTACCCTCTATGTGCGCCTCCTTTTTACCATCCAACTCATCTAGAACAGCAGGAACCTGAAAAACAGATGTGTGAACATTCAAAGCTCACTTTCATTTTTCCTTTATAAATGTGATAATTTTTCTTGATGATTAACCCTGTAAATCCTGACACATGAAATAATAGTTAGAAAAATCACAATTTTAAAGGGATGCTTATTGAACCTTTAGACAAAATATAACAAAATGACTCAAAAGCCTGATGATCATATTTGATACTCACTGATTTTGCATAAAAAATTATGCATGTGCTGTATACTCAATAACAGCTAAGTTGCTTCAGTCCAGTAAGTGTTCATTTTGAAATATTACTAACAATATCAGTTATTTTTGCATTTATTATTATTATATAGGCTAAATATCAGTAAGGATTTCACAACAAAAAGACACATGCACAACCTGAAGGTGGACTTTGTAAAATGATACTAAAAGACTTTTTACTTGCTAAAAAAAGTATAAACTATCAATCAGACAACAGAAAGCATGTAGTAAATTGTGTCCAACAGGCCTTTCAGCAACGTTTTGATCATGTCGATCATTTAGGGGCCTTAGAAATTTGTATATCAAATAAAATACAGTAGAGTTAGGAGAGGGTTAACAATAAGTTGAATTCGAGTTGTTACACTCAACTAACCAAAGGCTAAAATGTATCTAGTAAATACATATTAGCCAGAGGATTTAACAGCAGGACAGTTCTGCTCGCTTCAAAAGTATTGAAGTTGTTATACATTAATTAACTCTTTTTAACTCCAATATAGTTTCAGACAATTAGAGTTTAACCTCAAAGCTTGTGCTGTGTCTGTTCCCGACTAGTTTTGCTTTACCTATTAATTAACCAATAACTGAGAAAGCTAACAGATATCAGTGCGGTGAGGGGAGAAACTTGACAGCTTACTAGCTCGAACATTGTTAAGATAAACACTGATAATAAGATAAATACAGTACTAACAACAGCAAACTAAAGCACTACTAGTGTAAAAGCAACAGAACTGACTGTACTTAAGTAACAACAGCAAATTTAAGTAAATTCATACTAGAGTTCTAGTGTAACAGCAGTGAATTTGTGCAGGATTATAGTAACTGCAGTAAACTCAGTAAGTTACTAGTGTAAAAGCAGTTAACTAGCAGCACAGCACTAACGTAAGTTAACGAAGTGTAACTGGCTTCATATGAATGGAAAATACTACACGACACAAGAGTCACCCTACTAATAACGCTTAGCGCTCTATCTTAACATTTTAGCCGATATTAGCCATCTTGCATATTATAACACATAAACACAATAATAAACAAAAACCGCCGTTAGTCTAACAGTCTCTCGACGTCAACCAACTTCTGTCTCAGTTTAAACTCGCACTACTTACACACTCCATAATCCATTCACGGCGTGAAGAAGCTAAAGATGTTTACTTCGAGTTCAGAGTGCAGAAATATAGTTTAATTCGGTCTCCGGTAGCTGAAATGATGTGTATTTCGTCTCTGGTCCCGCAGCTCGCCGACAAACTCCTTCAAGGATGAGGAAGACCGCTGCGGAGGCCGCGACCGGATGTGACGACACACACGTGTGTGCGCTTCTACATAATAATAACAATGCATAGTCGCACATAATAATTAATCCTGCTGATAAACTGGTTATGAAATAAATTAAATATGAATTATATAACAACACTATATTCTAAAACATATATCGACCACAGTGGTGAGAGCCTAAATCTGGCAGATAAACGTTGTATTTAGATTTGTATTTATTTAATTTGGCAGTATATAAAATACAACTAAAAGTACAACGGTTCTAAGCTGAAGAGGAGTAAATAAAAGCGTTGCCAAGGCAACAAAAAACTATTGCTTAACCATAATTTTTAACAAGTTAGAAATGAGACCACAGCAAACCAGAGGAAAACATGCTGATCAACAGGGTAAGTTATGAACAAACCAGAAACACAACCAACGGCTGTAACATTTATTAAACCCAACTAGCACACCTCGAATACATTGCAAGGGTACCAAAGTTGTCGATTAAAATAATCTTGAAGTTTATCAACACATATTTGCAGAGAAAAACAACAACATGGAGCTCAAGATTCTCCTGAAAGATGACGTTTTTGTGGATTTCTTCAATACATTTCTAAGTCTTCCAGTAAGATGATGCTCCTCATTTCCATGTCTTTAATGTTCTGTTGAAATCCTGAAATGATCATACATGTTTGTCCTGTTTTTAGGTGTTTGGGCAAACCCCTCTCTACATGCTCAAAGATAACAAGTGGTTAATGTGGCCAAATGTGCCCTTTGCTCAGGTAACGTTAGGATGTTATTTATGAGAATATTAACCAGACCACCATAGCTGTTGGCCAAAACATCTAATATCTGTAAACATATTTACTGTCAGGTGAACACTGGAGCATTTCTGAAATGGTTAGACACACATCGGATGGTTTACTTCAAACAAACGGAGCTCTATCACAATTTCATTCTCTGCACAGAGATCCTTGACTTTGTATCCTGTAAATCCACAGGTAATATTATGCTTGTATGAAAGTTGTCTGGTGTGGGTCACATTAAAGGAATAGTTCACCCAAAAATGAAAATTAGCTGGAAATGTCCTCAGGCCATCAACAAGATGTAGGTGAGTTTGTATCTTCAAGGGAACAGATTTGGAGAAATGTAGCATTGCATCACTTGCTCAGCAATGGATGCTCTGCAGTGAATGGGTGCCGTCAGAATGAGAGTCCAAACAGCTGATAAAAACATCACAATAATCCACAAGTAATCCACACCACTCCAGTCCATCAGTTAACGTCTTGAGAAGTGAAAAGCAGCATGTTTGTAAGAAACAAATCCATCATTAAGATGTTTTAACTTTAAACCATCATTTCTGGCCAATAAAACAAGTTCATAATACATAATAACGCTTCCTCCATTGGGAAAGTCTATTGCCTGCATGTTGTCTCTCACATTAAAATTCACCCACATATTTTTTTAGAGCTGTTTTGAACTGTTTTTGATTGTAAACGGTTCTTGATCTGTGATATTTCTCTCCTAAATCAGACCAGGTGACTTTTTCAGTGGAAAGAGCAATATTATGGACTCATATTTTAGCCAGAAGCAACAGTTTGAA